GAGGTATCATAGTTTCCTGTCAATAGAAATTGTACAATCGGACACTATGGACTGGAGATATTTTGAAATATGAACTTTCAAATATGTGACCCATAATATTATAAATACCAAATGGAAAGTAACTCGTTTAGTGCGGAATTGCGGAATCTTTTTTTTTTAATATTTATTCTTCAAACCATGTGAAAAAAGTAAGATTTTAAACCATCAACTCGGTATATGCTAGTGCCGACCTTGCTCTTATTATGCTATAATGTAGTCTTCTTGTAAATAGGTATATCTTTAAACTTACTTCGTTGAAGTCCATTCTGGTTATGTACGGATTTTTAATTTGGAACAAAATTGACGTTTGTGCCTACATCATTACAGCATTTCACAAGTTCACTGCTGAACATAGACCTCACTCAAGAGACGCCACAAAGCACGGTCCCGATCCACCTACATCCATTGACTTCCTGCATATCTTACCAGGTAACGTCACTCCATCTAGTGGAGTGACGCAAAATTTACTTTGAGGTCATACTCAATTTGACTGCATCGTGATGATACGGCTACTCCGCAAGCTCAAAGTCGCTCAGCAATCGGTGGAAAGAGCCATGCTCGGAGTTTCTCGGGTGGATAAAATTCGCAATGATGAAATCCACCGGAGAATAAAGATTACTGACATAACCATCCGTGTAAGCTGAAGTGGCAATGGGCAGGTCATGTCTGTCGCAGAAGTGTCAACCAGTTTATACCATATCAATAGCAGCATCAATTAAAAAAAAGACTTTAATATTGCAGTGCCGTGTTTTTTGTTTCGCGCATAATGTTACAAATTATAACATAATAAACTACACCTTTCCTTTGCTACGGAGGTAAGGCAGATATTACATACATAGTGTTCTATGCCAGCGAAAATGTTTCATTGGAACTGTACCAACAGACACTGTCATATATTGTGTTGGTAGATACATTAAACAGTGTACAAATAATTTTATTAATGTCCGAAATCAGGTCTGCTTTTTAGCTGTTTCGACTAAGAATTGCAAAAATAAAATAAATAAATATATAAAAAATAATGTGACATATAAAATTAAATATTACGAAAATTATGTGTACAAATGTACTATAATAATTATATAATAATTTTAGGCACATTACATGACAATGAAAATTGGCAATTACCCTAAAAATCTAATTGATGTAACAAACCTCATCGATGTTAGGTTAGGATGATAGGTTCTACTTAGACTTACTTATTCGCTCCATGGGGCAATGCTTCTACATCACCAATTTCGATCATCATAGCAGCGCTCATTGCCGGTTGGTGACGGCGTAAGCGAATCTTTTAAGCATTTATAGGAAATGCTAGAAAAATCTTAAGGCTTACACCATAGATATGGGTATACCATCTCGTTTACGCCAACTGTAGATAAATTATCAGGACAGGCGACTTAGCCTTACGTTAAAAGCCTGGTTCCGCGTCATCAATCTCTGTCAATGATGACGATAAATGAATTTACGTCACCAAATTATAGGCTTAAAGTGGAAACTCAGTTGCTGTCGTGGCTGCAAAAGTACGACCAGGAAATGGGCGACAAGCAGAAAGAGCTCGATGAGTTTACGGAGAAGTACGAAGATGAGCTGAAAAAGTGTGAGCAGCTAGAGGTTAGTGGCATGTGAGAATAGATAACCAATTTTATATATTATGTTCAGAAATAATCAGAATATCAGAAGCGGCCGTAGCCTGATGTTTAAGGGTGCGGAATGCAAACAGAAAATCGTGGGGTCAAACCCGCCATTCGACTATTATCGTGAACCACTACGAATACAAGCATTTTAATTTTAAGCTTAGAGTGGTTAAACGGAGTATTTGCAAAGTTGATAGCGTTACTATTAAAAAGGTTAATTACAAATTTTGTAATAAACCTTTTTAAAGAAACATATTTATTTAGTACTAGCTGTTCCCCGCGACTTCACCCGCGTTACGATTGGATTTCATGGGTTTAATTTTTTTACGCGGAACCCTATTTATTTTACTTAAATAAAAGTAACCTAAGTTACTTCTTATAACATCAGCTATCTGCCAGTGAAAATCACGTCAATATCGGTCCAGCCGTTTCGGAGATTAGCCGGAACAAACAGACAGACAGACAAATTTTATAAAAATTATTTTTTTGTTATAAGTACCGTACCTATATACTTTCATATGCATTTAGTAAAAAGCTGTTATTTTGATATTACAAACAGACACTTCAATTTTATTTATTTGTATAGATTTGAAGTGAAAACTTCTTTAGAATCGTTTTGATTTGAAACTCGATGAAATGTAAAAGCGATGCTAAAAAGAGACAAACATATACATCTGTACGATTTAGCCTGCGAGAGAATGAGATAGAATAAAGTACCTATACATGTTTCCTATTATCTCGGTGTCCTCTTTGTGCGTTGCTTCGTAGCCTCCTCACTCTTGACTACTTTTTTGAAGGTTTCGCTTCTACCGCGTGTTAATTGCACACGGTTTTTTCCGGCTTATATTAAAGTGAAAAATGAACTAATAATTTACCTGAAGGTAGCCAAGGGAACATTTGCAACTAACAATAATCAAACAAAGCCACGTTGGTACAACAAAGATAGGTTGTTGCACGAACTTCACTTGTAACTGATGTTGGCGGCAGAAATAAGAGCGGTATCAACTCAGATGTACTTAAAGGTAGTTTTTTATAAGAACGGGGGCAAAACGAACAGAGCATGCGGCTTTTGGTAAGTGACTACCACCGCCTATGAACTGCAACATTAGGGAAATTGCAGGTGCGTTTCCAGATTTTTAATAAGAAATAACTTTTCTCTTGAAAGTCTCTAACTTGTGTTGGTCTGTAAAAATCACAGGTGATAGCCGGTTCCACAAAGAAGTTGTGTGAGAAAGAACTTAAGAAAGGCAATTAAGGAGTACGCTTTGATGTATCGAAATCTAGTTAAACTTTTCAGAAGTTTCAATTTCGAATATGATTTTTACGTGGTAGAGCCATGCTGCAGTCGACCACTCGGGAAGGACCACGCTCTCACAGAATATCAGCGTAAAATAGCAGCTTAAAGCTGCTGTGTTTCATATGGTGAGTGTAGAGAACCGGAGACCCTTTTTACTGGAAACGAGAAATTCCATCTTAGTCCTCACGGGTGACAATGCATTTGCATTTTGATTCGTAATCGAGGATAGGTGTAGATGTCTATGGCAACCACTTGCCATCAGGCGGACTGTGTGCTCGTTTGTCACCCTTATCTAATAAAAAAATTATATATTTAATATTACATACTTACTATCATTAAAATTTGTGTTTTTAAATTTAAAAAAATTAACTTTATTAGCACGCAGAAGAAATTATTAATTTTACTGTATATTTGTCACAATCTAGTTGGAATTAGCAGAGCAGGACAAAGAATATATACCGTTGATGGAAGAACGAGATGCAGAGTACGATCGAGAAATGGCAGAGAAGATGAATAAGTTCCTATTAGAACATGCTGCGAGAGTTATACAACACGCATGGAGGGAGGTTCTTGCAAATCGAGCGGAAAAGAAAAGGGTAAGATTTTAGGACGACGGTTAACATAAGTCAAACGGATACCGTATCAGTAAACGATCCCTATATATTATTTATTTATTTATTTGCTTTTTATTTTGTTATATGTGATATTAACAAACACTATATATTACATACTAATTCTTTAGTGGAGACATGCAAATTTGTTGTTTTCTTCTTTGTATTGATGATGATGGTGCACTCCTGGCCAATTGCAATCACGACTACACCATCCTAACTTAGATTGCTCGTGTACTGTTTAAATTTAAGATTCGTGCCTTTGTTCTGATGCTATAATGAATTTAAGAATAATTTGCGCTGAAGATAAATAAATTATAACACTTCTCGCAGCATAAAGGAAGACCTAGGAAAGGGAAAAAGAAGAACTAAAATCCGTGCTTCATTCTTTCCACAAAATCCATGTATTCCCATTTCCTTTTCTCATATCTTTTCCCATCCATGTCACTTTCAGCTCAAAAAGCTTCAGAAGAAAATGCAGGCAGCTGCAGCCGCGGCGGAGAGGAAGCCAGCAAAGAAATGATATCAAATGAAAAAACGTATTAATACAATAATTATTTATTTTTGTTAAATATTATTAAATTTTTATTTACACAATCAAGCGTTTCATTCATAGTCGAAACATTGTTGCACATCTCGTAACAAAATCCAAGAGAAGTCCAATAATTTTCACCACATCCATAAAGCATTATGATAAAATGAAAGCTAAGAGGACGTTTTAATTAAAAACTAATAAGTCAATGTAATTTAGACATTAATTTTAGTCTTTGATTAAGAATTATCAACTTACAAAGTACTTTTGGAGCGTTTAATTTGCTCTTAATTTATAGGAAAAACTATATTTTTTGGAAAATTCGTAGGAAATATACATCAAGAACTAGTTTTATATAACTAAAAATCTTTTGTTATGTCCTATTTTATTCTACAATATTAAAATTAGAAACATACAAAATAAAATTATTATAGTATACCTATCAATGACATGTAAAATATCTTTTGCTATAATTAAATTAAAAAAAAAACAATATCCATCATTCTGATATATTATTACAATGCATCTTATTTCTTAACAGACCTACTTTTAAGTACTGAAATAGCGTTCATTTAATTTGATTCAGTCAGTTACAGATCATATTCAGTTAGAAATGATCTACTAAGTTTTTAGTTTTTAAATTCAGACGTGATATTCATAACCTGGGACAGTTATTTTAAAACAATATTTGTAAAAATGCATTTAATTAATATTTTGGATTAATAAAGTTTTCTTTACGTCTAAACTTTTTAATCATTTGTGCATAACTGTATATTTTATTTATTTGGTCAGATCATCAAGTCCGTCATCTTCAGTAGGCAACTCAACTTGAACTTCTTTGTTAACTGTTTTTCATTTTCATTACTAAATTTTTCTTTAACAAATTTCGATCATAATTTATCTTCGTCGTCTAATACTTGCAAGTGTCTAATAGCTTTAAGGTCAATCAGGGTGTCGGAAGAACTTTTTGTAGTTGGCACAAACGATAAAGCGCGGCGTGCTCTCTCTCCATTCCGGAATATGGGATGATCCTGTGCATAAGAAAGGTTTTTTAATAACGATTACAAACTAGTACACAGTCCGTCGGATGGGCTTTAGTAGTAACCCTTTTTTGGACTTTTACTGGTTAAAACAGCATAGGCGAGGGGTCCCAAGATTTCCGTTCAGAACACAAGTGAAAACAATCCATCGCTTTTGCCATCATACGTCCCGTCTCCTGACTGTACTTACCCAACACCCTTGCAGTGTTATTACGATAACTCGTGCTCACTTCCGAGCCATCGTACTCCACGAAGTTGCATTGCTAAGCGTTTGGAGCTTGCACCCTGATTGTACGCGGTACTATACGGCCCATTTCTGGCAGGAGAACAGAGTGATCAAAAGAATGACCGTGACATACGCCTTGGTAGTGTCATCTCCGAATGGGATTTGTTCTCCCGGTTCTGCGCGGTAATCTCGTTTTGAACCATTAGGGATTCACCGAAGATGCCATGCATGTCGCATCAAGCCCTGGTCCTAGATCTTTCCCAAGTTATAAGATATGAAGATGGAAAAGTAAATTTGCTAAGATTTGCATGCAAAGATAAAAATATTATATTGTATTATCTAACTTGAAGGAACGCCATTCTTTTCTAAAAAGCATGCACTTACTAACCCTGACGCTTGGAACAATATAGACTCTTACATAAGTAATGCTGGAGATTCTCATAGATACTCGCAAATCTATCGTGGAAGATATTATTAGCAAATTAACTTTTTCAACATTAAGGATAAGATAAAGATATTTTATTTTGCAAATATGGGTTCAGTACATGGTGATAGGTAGTGATTTCAGACATATTTTACCAGTAGGCATGCATATTATACAGAATTATGAACCAATCCACTATAATAACACAAAACCAACAAACAAACATAACTCTCATTGTTAACATTACAGTATTATTCCCAAACGATTTTTTTTTCAGTCAAGAATTCCGTTACGCTATAGTATGCTTTGACTGTCCAAAAGCTTCGAAGCCTTTTTTGACCTAACTTCTTTACAGTGCTAAAGCAGCTGTAAAGAAGTTAGGTAACCATGCAAAGGTTGAGCGGTACTTTAAGCTGAGACAACTGCTTACTTTATATAAAGCGCAAGCCCAGTCGTGCGTGGAGTATCGGTGCCATATATGTGCTGGTGCTGCAAAATTGGAGCCCTAGTGGATTTGGACTCAATGGAAAGTTGTGCCAAGAGGCTTATTGTAGACTTCAATTTGATTAAAGCCGATCTTACTAGTCGCAAGCACAGGCGCAAAGTAGTCAGCTTTTCATTTCGGAGAGGGTCCGCAGAAACTGCTTAGCTTAATTCCTCCCTCTCCCTTCCATCATCGCACTATCAGATACATGGCTGGATAACCCTTTTGTTGTTGACATACTACGTTTTTGAAGTAAACGGTTTCCTTTGTCGTTCGTAGCAAAGGAGTGGAACAATTTACCAGCATCGGTCGTCCTATTAGATTATAATGTCTTCAAGACAATTTTTTTATTAATTTTTTTTTCGTTATGCTAAGTCTGCCATATTCAGCTGTATCACCACTTACCATCGGGTAGGATGGTTGTCAAGCACTGGCCTATAATGGTTAAAACAGGGATTTGATTCCAAAACTCAAACTGGTTATAGGCTCTTGAGACTATAACTAAGACACTAAGCTACGCGTTCGTCTTTGATGTAAATAATGGATTAGAATTGAATAGGTACCTAAATTATCTGTAGAATAATAGTAATACATTACCCTTAATTGTACATGCAAGGCCTGTGCGTTGTATTCAGTCTTCGATATCTTTTCTTGAGCCGCTTTCAATTCTGCATCAAGTCGCTGCTTTTCACGTTCAAGCTCTTTGAGCCTCCTTTCAGCCTCTGATTCAAGTATTATTAGTTTAAGTTTACATTTGTATGTTGCTTTAAAGGCAAAATATATATTTAGAAGTAAAGCAATGCTTTCAATAATATAGAATATGTTGTCTACTTGTTTATTTGAGCGAGTCTTAGAAGAGTTAGAGAAAAATTGAATTTTAATGTCATGCAGGTAGTGAAAGTGGTATGTTTTGGGATACTTATTACAGCAGTTAGATATATAAAACTTAAAAAAAAAACTCTGTGGGAAGGCCTAGCATTTCTTAGGTTTAACTTCTGTAGCAGAGAATTTTCTGCACTTAAATACTTCTTAACTCGTTACTAATCCACTAGACATTGCAAACATCAATATTTATTATTTTTTATACATATTTTTAGAGTATAATATAAAGTTCCCTAATTGATTCTATAGGTATCAGGCTTCAATCATTTTAGCCGCCATTTAATGTTATTGGGAATAATATATCAATCATATCAGTATCTTCAAAGTTAAGTTTGTGTCATTCATTGCATTCATTCATGCAGGCTATTTGATTTGCTGGACCTACTTTATCAGAGATAGTACTTGAACACTGAGAAGACGATTATCGTATTAAATAAAAAAAAATCTATACAATTACCTACTGCTGAAGAACAAAAAGTGGATAACGACACCCTATAATAACGGAAGTCTAATACTAATTCACATAAATCCAAGTAAAAAGAAAACAAATTAAGTATCAAGTAATCTTGTTTCGATATTTTAATTGATTTATATTTCTCAATTGTTTTTGTTGAATATTTGATATATTTTCTTACCCTTAAACTGAGCCTCTTTCTCAGCTTGGAGCATTTCAAACTGTTTTCGTTTAAGTCTTTCTTCTTCCAACATTCTATTTTGTTCTTCTTGAAGGCGTTCCAATTCTTCTCTTTTTTCCCATTCTTCTGCCAAAACTCTGAAAATTACACAACATTTTTTTAATAATTTACTTACTCCTAACATTACAAGTTGGCAATTAAGTTTAAATTGTAAATTCATATTTTGCTTACGTTTTTTTAACCAGGTTTTTATTAATTTGTTACCTTGCCTGTAGTGCTCTAACAATTTCTTCGTCCCTTTTAGCTTGCGTTTCCTCTTGTAAAAGTCTTTCGAGCTCGGTTTGAGCATTCTTTAGTTCTTCTAATTTCTTGTTGTCTTGTTGCGCCAGTTCAGCTAATTCCTATTAAAATATTTTTTTAAATAATGCTTAATGAACAATCAAATATTATTGAAAGGTAATATTTGATTGTTCGTTTTGAATTTCTTTTAACTTAAACGTTGAGAATTATATGGAGAGTATTTTACAACTCTAAACAGAGAGCGTCAGATGCCTTGTTTACATTCAAGATGAAGCTGGAATTTTTACTTAAACTAAAACTTGTGGGAACACAACAGATTTTATATGTGGTAGAGTCATGCTGCAGTTATATTATTAATATAGTTATAGCACGAATGAGTTGCTTCGACCGGAGGGACCATGCTCTCACAGATTACCAGCGTAAACTAGCAGTTTAACGCTGCTGTGTTCCCTATGGTGAGTGTAGAGAACCAGAGACCCCTCTTACTGGAAACGAGGTGTTACGGCCTACGGCTGCTCCCTTAAAGGATCCAATCTTCAGGGGCCCATGAGCTGAAGATTTCCCGAACAGACGTAGGTCGGGCCTTAATGTGGCCACGTGGAATCTCTCCAATTACACTAAAATATATGGGGGAGCGTTATACTACGGCCAGTCGACCGGAAGGAATTTGGATGAAGCTTACTTACCTATCCAAGGCGACTGGTCCCTCCGGAGTCGGTCAGGTCGCATGTGGTTGTGTAGTGCAAAGAAAGAATGGTGATGTGGTGTGTATCTGGGTGTGACTGATGGTTATTGAACCTAGACCTTGGCCGTCGGCAGCAGCCCGAGCGTCGACACCGCTCCAACTTGAGGGCGCCTTTCGAGGTTGTCCACAGTCACTTTCTTCTTTCGTCACGATAACAGTCACTTAACTCTATCGTACGATTTACTAACTTACAGAAGCCACTAACTATCGCTGGGTATAATGGTTACCGCACAAACGCACACGGAGTTTAAAGGGTCAAAGGTCACTACCGTTTCGCGAAGCAATAGTTAATTCTAGAATATCAGAGGCCGCACTATCTAATATTGCCGAATGCACTTATGCAGGTTTTGAGTCAGACACAATAAGTCCCGGGAAGCTCTCCAGTAGGAATGCGCGTCACAATGATAGACCGTATATTTACTGGCCGCGCCTAATTATTCCGAGTTCCCTAACAGAATGGACCGCGTGCTCACGTCAGCACCGATTAAAGACGACTGCCTGCCCTTGGGCGTTTTTCGCACGACCGAAAGTCAAACCGGTATGAATGCACCGCGCCGAGTGCCCTCTCGCGTCAATCCTTGAAAGTGTTTTGCGCGAACAAACCCCCGTCCCGGACATAAGGATTTAGGTCCGCGAGCAAACCGGTCAGCGGGACAAGGTCGCGAAGGCAAGTTGCAAGACCGACTCTACAACCAAACTAGGCCACCTTAGGCATCCCATCAGATCTTGCAACCCTAATCAGCGCCTCAAAAAATAGCCCTAATGTGGCAAGCGGGAGGGTCAGCCTCCACTGGATGCCCCTCCTGGGCATCGCAGCACTTTAACAAGTCCTGTACTGGACAGAAGTCCGACGACCTCTTTCAAACACCTATCTGTGCCCATATGATTAGTTCCGCAATCCGACCGGATCAGCTCTGCAAACAGCGACGCGACACGAAGCGGCCCCGAGCGGCCTCCTAAGCTTCAGTGCAGAGAGCACCCACAAATTCCACATGAACGTCGTCTGTGAAGAGCCGAACGAAACGCACAGATAGTCCCTAGTATGAATTTTCAACAAGTAGGCCTAGCCAGGCCACCCACCATATTATCATTTACTAAAATAGCGCGGCAGCTGATTTCAATCAGATAATCTCCAAACTAGCTAGCCTGTTAGGCAAGTAGTCCTATGCTCATATTTCAACTAATTTTTCAAAAGCAACAATGTTCAGCTACAGAATTAATTCAACCAAATTAATCACCGATGCGCATAGGTCAACTTGCAAATTAAACAAAACAATAACGTAAGGGACAGCCCTACTCCTTCGCAAAGCAAAATGATTAAACACTATCATAAACATATAGATAATTTTTCAAATAGTGCGCCATTCAATTTCAGATGAATTTAAATTTTCCTTTCAGCAAACAGATGCAACAATCAAATACAGTGATTAAATATATGTACAAAACACATGCAGTAGCATTTAAAGGAGTAGATTAAATTCAATTCTTTTAATTTAAACCGCTACAAATAGGAAAATTTCGCGGAAAGCCCAAAGCAATTTTTTAATTTTAATTCAAAGTATTTTTTTAACTAAGTGCTCGACCAAACCAAATCTAATACCCCTTGACAGCGTGATTCAACGCTCCAGGGGGGCCCTAATCTTCCCACCACCAAGGGGAGGCCACATGGCGTGAACCCGAGATAAATAGAGCACAACCTCTAACAGTTGCCACTCGGGTTGTACGCCTTCACTGAGGCCGTCGGCAACAGAACACTTTGACAAGTGGAATGTTGACGGCTTAAGGCTCAGTGGAGGCGGCCGTGGTGGGAGCTAAGGCGGCAGCTAGACAGGGCCGCCTCCATCAAATGGGGAACAGTGGTACACCAGTCGCGGCCACTCAGCTAACGGAAGTGAGAAGGGTCCAGCGGACCGATGAGTGGCCGTGAAGTTCCTCTCCACACGCTGAGGGGGGGTGATGACACCCCCGCCCCTGGGGGAATTACCCCCCAACTGCTTGGGGGAGGGGCCCCTTTCAAACTTAGGGGCCTGGTGGCTGGCCGGCGAGCGCCGATTGTCGCCCAGCAGAGGGCGTGGCTGAGCGCCCCCGCCCGTGGGGGTCGAGGGCCTGGCAGAACCCCGAGAGGAGACGCCGTTCGCACCCAGGCAGAAAACTACATGGTGATTGCCCTGGCAATGCAGACAGGGCCGTCGATGCGGACAGTCTCGCTGGAGGTGCCCTCCCAGACATGACCAGCACCAGCGGCGCTCCTTGGCGATAATTCGCCTCGCAGGAACCGGCTTACCTAATAATTTCGGGCACAACGTTACCCGGTGATCAGATGCTCGACAATAGGAGCAGGGGGGGGGTTGACGACGACTTGCCTGGCGGGTTCAGCCTCTCACTGGGCACATCTCGTAAGTCGTCAACGGTGCCCGCCGCGTTCTCGATCTGCCGGCACTGCTCCTCCAAAAACCGCAGCAAGAAGGGCGGAATATAGGAGGCCTCGTCCCCGCCGTACCTCTCCTCAAAATGGATTCGAAAGTCGAGAGGTAGACGGGACAGCACTATGCGGAGCAACAAAAAGGCCCATTCGCCCACTGGTAAACCCAGCCGCCTCAACGTATTACAGGCCACCAAGACTGGATCCAACAGGTCCGAACGCAGTCTGGCCCGGTCACTAAGCAGCGGGAGGCTTAGAAGCTGCTTAACATGCTCGTCTGCAATTCGCCGGATGTTGGCGTATCTTCTGGCTAGGAGGTCCCGAGCAGTCTGGTAGGCGTCGTCCGACAATTTCAAGTGGCCGACGACGCCCAGGGCCTCCCCCTCCAGTGAGGCCAGGAGGTACGCCATCTTTTGTCTCGGGGTCAAGTCACTCCGGGCGTCCACTAGGCTGTCGAAAAGACCAACGAAGGTCAGCCATTCGGAAAGGACCCCGGAGAACTTTGGCAGGTCCAGAGTTGGGAGTCGTCCCAACAGCTCCGGCTGAAGCTGCTTCAGAGAGGACTCGGGCAGGTTACTCATCCGAGCTTCACGCGCCTCCTCGGCATACCTGCCTTCAGCCTCGATCAACTCGTCCGTGAGCCACAAGAACTGCTCATAGTCCGCAAAGCAAGAGTCCAGGACTCCCTTCTCCACATCCGAATCCTCGAGCTCAGCGTAAGCCTCCTCCACTGCGGCCCTTCGAGCATCCACCTGCTCGAACCGCTTCATCAAGTTATGGACCCTATCCGGTCGACCTATCAAAGCATGGGCGCTTGTGGCCCAGCGCAACTCAGTCCGCAGACAACGGATCAGTAGCTCAGGCGATGTCATCACTATTAAATACAAATTACGACGCGGCTTGAGCACAGATTACAAAGATAACAAACAAAAAATACAACAAAAATTAACAGTTAATAAATGCAGTTCCTATCAAATCGCGTTGAATAGAAATTACACAAATACGAATTACTACGTATCAACCAAATACAAGTTAGCTCAAAAGAAAAGACACAATCAAATTAACAAATAACAAATACTAGTGCGATGAAATCAAGTTAAATTCAAAGTACGCAAATACAATTACTACTCTTTAGTTCAAATACAAATTACAGTATAAACGAAGATACACATCACGGTCGATCAACAAAAATGCCTAGCTCGGAAATCGAACCTTCGATAAGTAATCCACTACAACTATCCGACAACGATAATTAACCGATTACGTAAAAATAACCATCTACCTACATGACGTATATCTCTAGAAAAACTCCCGCTTGCACAACCTAGGGCGCGGCTTTTCAAATTACCCTCTAACCAAAAAAAGGCAAGCAACAAAGCAACAAAGGAAAATAATTGTATTATTACGTACAAAAAAATATTTTTACGTATTACGGACGGGCGTGATTGTAGATGCAAATTAAACCAATCACACCAACGCTCCCTGCCACCAAAATTGTTTAATGTTTATCAAACACTACAGTCGGGATCGACCGGGAATCGAACCCGGAATCGCGCTCTGCTACCAGTTTGTTACGGCCTACGGCTGCTCCCTTAAAGGATCCAATCTTCAGGGGCCCATGAGCTGAAGATTTCCCGAACAGACGTAGGTCGGGCCTTAATGTGGCCACGTGGAATCTCTCCAATTACACTAAAATATATGGGGGAGCGTTATACTACGGCCAGTCGACCGGAAGGAATTTGGATGAAGCTTACTTACCTATCCAAGGCGACTGGTCCCTCCGGAGTCGGTCAGGTCGCATGTGGTTGTGTAGTGCAAAGAAAGAATGGTGATGTGGTGTGTATCTGGGTGTGACTGATGGTTATTGAACCTAGACCTTGGCCGTCGGCAGCAGCCCGAGCGTCGACACCGCTCCAACTTGAGGGCGCCTTTCGAGGTTGTCCACAGTCACTTTCTTCTTTCGTCACGATAACAGTCACTTAACTCTATCGTACGATTTACTAACTTACAGAAGCCACTAACTATCGCTGGGTATAATGGTTACCGCACAAACGCACACGGAGTTTAAAGGGTCAAAGGTCACTACCGTTTCGCGAAGCAATAGTTAATTCTAGAATATCAGAGGCCGCACTATCTAATATTGCCGAATGCACTTATGCAGGTTTTGAGTCAGACACAATAAGTCCCGGGAAGCTCTCCAGTAGGAATGCGCGTCACAATGATAGACCGTATATTTACTGGCCGCGCCTAATTATTCCAAGTTCCCTAACAGAATGGACCGCGTGCTCACGTCAGCACCGATTAAAGACGACTGCCTGCCCTTGGGCGTTTTTCGCACGACCGAAAGTCAAACCGGTATGAATGCACCGCGCCGAGTGCCCTCTCGCGTCAATCCTTGAAAGTGTTTTGCGCGAACACGAGGCATTCCATCTTAGTCCTCACGGGTGACAACGCATCTGCAATTTGATTCGTAGTCGAGGATAGATGTAGATGTCTATGAGCTTCAGTAACTACTTACCATCAGGTGGATTGTGTGTTTGTTTGTCACACTAATCCTATAAAAAAGAGATTGTCTTGCTGCTTGGCGGATGAATAGTAAAAAAGGTGGAAGAAAATAATAATATTAAAACTGACGATTTTTTTTTATTTTAATTTAATGCAAAAATATCAATTAAAATCTCCTTTTCCTTCTTCAATATATAATATTGTTACGAACTTGGGGTTCGAGACAATTAAAAATTGCCGATTGAATTATCAAAACTGACACTTTAATTACAGAACACTAATTACAATTTAAAACCACACTAATAATAAAACACAATTGTACTACTGATCACTTTAGTTCGCAGTTATTTCGCTTCGAAGTATTCGCTTGTATCGCCAATTCAATACTCACTCGGTCGCAGTCTATACCGGCCTTATATAGGGCCTCAGATAGTTTCCAGAACCTTCTACTGTAGGAACATCTAGAATGTTCGAGTATATATCCGTCCCGAAATTTCTAGAAGGATCTCGTCTCTTCTAGTTCTGCTACTCCACACTAGAGGGCGCTTGTGGTAACTAGTGTTGCCATGTACAAAACATTAATAGTGGCGCGTAACAATATGAACACTGATATTTAAATCAATCAACATCTTTTTTTTGCAACATCGATCGTCTCTTAGCAGTATAGATACCTGTGCGACAGTTTTAGCGGAACCTTGTTTGCAAATGGATTTACTGCTACTGTAATAACGTTTAAAAATAATGGTTTGACATGGCTGTATGGACCTAGCACCCTTTGCCTTTGATTAATTAAAATTTAACTGCCTCATTGATCGGTGGTTGTGGGCGCGACTGTTAATCATGTGGTCCTGGGATTGAATCCCAGGTTGGGTCAGAAATCAGTTATCGGGTTTTTCTGTCAAGAAATTCTCAGGGGCAGCCCGGTGTCATGAAGTTGTCGATGTTTTACGCTAGTTCCTCGGAAAGTACGTAAAATCATTGATTCTGCGCCTGATAGGAAATGCATTAGTATTACACTCGTAGACTGAAATCTTGTTTTGAGTAAATGGCTAATCGTTTAGACTGGCCACGGCGATTTAGATTTAAAATAAAAAGGGGGTTTTGGCGGGACCTTGACCGCCCGTAGATTTCTGCGCCTGTTATATTGTGTAAATAATTATTTAGAGCGGATGTTGATATTTAAAAGTGGTACGATTTTGTGTGTTGAATATATTAGCACGTGATCTATGTAAACGATGTAACAAGTGCTTCGATGGTAATCATCATCAAATATTCGCTGGCTTAAGTTGTAGGTAGTCAAAGTCTACCAAGAACTTCGTAATGTGACGCATATTGTGAAGAGTTTTGTAAACAAAATTATTCACATCAGACTAGGCTGTATGGTATAAGACCTTTGTCTTCCTTTATTGGTGAATCGTAGCAAGAACAAATAGAAAAATTATTAGTACGTACCTGTGCCTGTGCCTCTGCGGCGAGGCGCGCACGCACCTCGTGCTGGAGGCGCGCGCGCGTCTCCCGCACCTCGCGCTCGCGGCGCGCACCCGCCCCCCGCCGCCCCGCGCGCGCGCGACGCTGGTACCCCTCCGCGCCGCCCGACACCGCGGCCGCCTGCCGCAGCGCCGACACCCACTGCAGCCTACTCCTGATACCAACATTTGTACGTGGTAGAGCCATGCCGTAGCTATGTTAGTTGTAGATCTAATTGTTCGGCTCGACCAGGGTAGAATCACGCTCTCACAGAACACCAGCGTAAAATATTAGTTTAATGCTGCTGTGTTTCGTATGGTGAGTGTAGAGAACCTGAGACCTCTTTTACTGGAAATGAGGCATTCGATCTTAATGCTCGGGGGTGACAAAGCATCGCATTTTGATTTTAAGTCGAGGATAAATGTAGAGGTCAATGGGCCGCAGTATCCACTTACCATCTGTTGAATTGTGTGCTCGTATGTTATCCTTATTCTATATATCTAAAAATGTATTAGGCATTATTGAGCCGCAATATTGCAAAATTTGTTTTTAGGATCAATAAATATTATTATATTATTGTCCTAGGCCATCCTTTCATTTAGTTGTGGGTTCTGTGTTAGACGGCCGCCCAGCTTGAATCCTAGACTTACTCTTTCCTATTCCCCTGTCTTTTCATCTGCTCAGGCCTGTGCTTTGAAGTTTAATTTTCTTTGTGTACGCTTTGATATTATCTGATGTAAAACGAAGTTTTGTCCTTGCTCTGATGTATTTATATTTTAATCACTTTTGTGGGTAAAAATTTAGAATCGTTTAGCAGGAATTTGGGGGAGTAAGGTCCCGCTTCCGCCACAACCTTCTTACCTATTTATACTGAAAGTATTTCTGGGTGGTGAAAAAATAACCACAAAAGTTGTGGCAGGGGCAGCGCTGCGCTTCGCTCCCGTCACAACTTTCTAACCTATCACACCTGAAAGTATTTCTGGGTGTTCAAGTATTTCTGGGCACGATAAAAACTACAATAGCACGATTGAAATAGTGACTTGACAAGAATACCGTACGATTGCTTTGTTGCGATCGGGTATGTGTTAAAATACCTACGCGCGAAATCCTAAAACTGAAAGTATACCCGTAGCCAAATTCTTCTGGATTCGAAAACATACCCGACAGCAACACGGTCTCTGACGTCATGAGCATTGTGTGAAGGTATAAACTCCATATACGTATCCTCGTGTCAAGGTTCTCGTGACTCACTTTATGAAACATGACAGCACTATGCTGCTATTTCACGGTGGCGTTTTGTGCGAATGTGGTGCTTACCCAGTCGAGTTGATTCCTTAGTCCTACAGCAATAATATGCTACTGAACGTGGTAGAGTGCCGAATAGAGGATTCGAGTACCTACACACATATTTAAAAATAAATATTCATCTAGTCTAAATGGAGACTGTAAAATAAAATTCAACTTTTAATACGTTTTCAAATTAAGGTGCAAGCTCCAGGGTGGCCCGCGAAATTCAAATTTTGTTACGTTTTTTGGATTTTGCAGGGCAGGGTCAGGTTGAATGTTTAACAAAATATGATTCGCGATCGTAACGAGTATGTGTTTACAGAATTATTATCATTAAAATCACCAATACAACCCTCCAAGTTCATATAATTCCTTTGAATGAGTTTTTCTGGAAATAACCATACAATAGGATTATACGAACTTAGGGGGTTGTATTGATGATTAAAATGATTATAATTCTGTAAATACATACTCGTCACGGTCGCGAATCATATTTTATTAAACATACAACCTAACACTGACCTATAAATTGCAAAAAAAACGTAAGAAAATTTAAATTTCGCGGGCCACCTTGGAGCTTTCACCTTAAGCAAATTAAGAATTCACATACTTATGATCCTGCGTGCCGAACTCGAAAGTCCTCTCGGGTGTAATGAGCTGGAACCTCTGTAACTTTCCTTCTCCTGCTGCAGACTCAACAGAGCAGTACTCGTCTATCGATATCCTGCCGCATTGCTCCTTCTGCGACGAACTCTTGTAGTAGGTGAGCGCACACGGCTGCAGTACGCACCAATACTCGCGCATCGTTGGTAACAAGTAGCCCCTCTTGTACAGGTAACCCTAAGATAAACATATTTGTTTATTGATTAGCCCTTTCGTCTCGTCTTTGTAAGTATAGGCTTGAAATGAAACAATGTTTTGGGGCTTTTTTTACACCGACGTTTAAGGAAGTTTGCAAAAAACGATCCTAACTAAAATAAACAAATTGGCTGGCTTTGACCATCTGCATGGAATTCAAGATCATGAGTTCGATACTGTAATCTAGTTCTGCGTAAATCGGACTAAAAATTAATAAATTCTATTTATTAGCTAGACGTAGTTCGGGTTAAATCTAACATCAAAACTTTGAACACTGCAGTTCCGGTTCCCTGTGATCATACAAGCACACAGAAATATAAATGTATTAAAAATAAGTAAATTAAATGCGATAAAATGCAAATTTCCAAACAAAACAATTTCGTTCAATGTGAAGTAAATAGGTAGGTTACTCCCGTAAACATAAAAATTAATAATCATATATTTAAACGTTGGAATTGTAGATTCTTGAATTGTTTTAAGTAATTTTTCTTCGTATGTCTTTTTACAGACACTATAGTGGGTAATACTTAACAAAACTTTTATTTTACAATACAGATGGACAGACAGAGCTGTGCTAGCTCGGGGTTGCTCTGGTACCAATAAAATTAATAGTTGCAAATTAAAGTACTGATTTACCACGTGCTTGACAGTGCAGTACGTATTGGTGCAGAGCAGCAAAGTAATTATCTTAAACTTTTTTAGAAAAAGAAACGGTATGTGCCAAGCAGTTTACATTGAATAAATAGATTAATTAACGTCTTCATTTTCTTGTGATGTCATCAGCCTGTATGAATGTAGTTAGATTGCAAGTACTTCTTCAAATATTTGCACTCACATTACTTACCATGCTGGGCAACAGTGGCAACAAACGCATAGCCGATATCCTCGCACTGGTTATTTTCGCAACCATTACCCTGTATCGTTTCGCGTCACATTTGTTGAATGGATATTCCGTTAACAATGACAACTAATCTCGTACATTGATCAGCGGAGTACACCGTGTGCAAGAGAGGCAGGCATTTGGAGAAATATACATATAAATACTTCTTACTCACTTTCTGATCTTCGTACCTTTTTAATAATATCCTCAATGAAAACATCGTAAATCTCGTCGACGGCTTCGACCAATGCTTTGGAATGCAGCTGCTGGTCGCAGCAGTACTTCGCTTCAAGCACGGCTAGGAATGCCGCCCATTTGAAGTGACCGATAGAGGAGCCTAGCGCCTCCCAGTCCGCCGCGTCCCAGCGGAGTCCGAGGCAGAGGACTAGTTGTTCGGCAACTATTCCTGCTTCCGACGGCTGTAGAACAACCTTGAAGAAGATAATGGGAAAGTAAAATAACGCGCTATTAGCGTTTTACTCCATTTACTAAAAAATCTTAGTTAAGGTACTTTTAGTCATGAATATACGAAAATGAATTGAAATTTCCGAAAAATTCCGAAAATTATTTTCTTTATCGAAAATATGCATATAAAGGGTTATTCAATTGGCGCGGGTAGATTTTGGCGGCTCGTGGCGGCCATTTTGTTTTGGTGACATCTATCAAATCTTTTGTTTATTATTTGGTTACATATGCCACATGAGTAAAGAAACCGTACCTTATGCCAAATCACCATGGCAAGTTACACGATTGAACAGCACGTTCAAATGTTAAAACTTTATTATCAAAATGAGTGTTCGTTAGTGCAAACGTACCGCGCATTAAGCACATTTTATGGTAGACATGGTGGCCGTTCACAATCGACTCTTCAACGTTTGGTGGCCAAATTTGAAACGACCGGTTCGGTAAATAATCAGCCAACACCCGTACGTTCAAATAACGCAAAACGGGCCGAAAACATCGTCCCGATTCGTGAAAGTTTACAGCAGAACCCAAGGCAGTCGATTCCTCGCCGTGCACAAGAATTCGGCATTTCGCAGATTTCAACTTGGCGAATTTTGCATCGAGACTTATGCCTACACCCGTACAAGATCCAACTGACCCAGGAGCTGAAAGTTCATGACCATAGATTTGTTCCCTGACTGGGCTTCGAATCTTTCGGAAGAGGGCCTCATCCGGAAAAATCTTTAGCGTCCAGGCGCATCTTTAGATGAATGGCTGAGTTAACAAGCAGATTGCCGTATATTGGACGACACCAACCCACGTGAGGTTCACCAGGTAATAATGAATCCTCAAAAAGTTACCGTTTGGTGTTGATTCTGGGCCGGCGGCGACATTGGTCCGTACTTTCTCGAAAACAACGCTGGTGAGGCGGTCACCGTCAACGGCAAGTGTTACACAACGATAATAACCAATTTCTTATGGCCCAAATTGAACCATATGGTCCTAGACGACATGTGGTTCCAGCAGGACGGCGCTACGTGCCACACAGCGGAAGCCACGATTGACATTTTCTATGAGCGATTTGAGGGTAAGCTTATCTCTCGCAGGGGTGATGTAAATTGGCCACCATTGTCGTATGATTTGACCCCGCTAGAGTTTTTCTTGTGAGGTTTCTTGTAGTTGCAACCACAACCGACCGATGCCCTAAAATGAACATAACACAAGCCATCGCTCAAATTCAGCCGGATATATGCAGAAGAGTCACTGAAAATTGCACCACTCGGATCCGTGCCACTGGAACAAGCCGAGGCGGGCATTTGAACGATGTCATATTCCACACTTAATGGCAACATGTGGGCCATACAAATTAAAAATAATTTAGTACTAATACCTCACATACAGCTTGTTTATTTCATATCAACATCTACCCGTCCTTATTGAAAAACCCCTTATTATCTTAACCGAAAATTTTTCATATACGCAATATTATCTTATAACTGAATCCACCCATAACTTATAAATATTTCGGCGTACCAACATCTAAACGTATCTTTTTACGTGGTAGGGCGAGCCATGCTACATCGGCTCAACAATGGAAGGACCACGTTCTTATAGAATACCAGCGTAAAATAGCAGCTTTATGCTGATGTGTTTTGTATGGTGAGTGTAGAGATCCAAATAACCTTTTTACTGCAAACCAGATATTTCATCTTAGCCTTATAATCCTTAGTGTAAATATCTATGGTTATTCACTTACCATCAAGTGGGCGGTGTGCTCGTATGTCACACTTATTCTACAAAAAATATACTGTGCACAACTTACAATAACATAAAAACGAGACAAAATATGTACAGAAAGATATTAAAATATTGATTGTCTATAAACATTTGCACATTTCAAGAAAAACTCAAACTAAATATATCTGAAACATTGTAATAGTGGTATATATACTGGTTCACGTATTACTCGTTTTCATCACAAGGCTAGTTCTTTGAAACATTGTTTTATGCTAGAGGTGTCTACGTTAAGAAAATTGAGGGAAACGGTAAACGAACTAGAACTTTTATGCATAATATGTACAAGGGGGCGCTGTCAAAACATTTGAGTATTGAATAAACGGGCTGTTTTCCGTAACTCCACGTCTAAGCGCGTATTTTGCGTGAACAGAGTATTCGGTCTCGGTGCACAAATAGAAAGGACGCATAGACCCAGGAAAGATTCATTGGTTTTCGAATAGCTCTGATAATGCAATAGACATTCCCTTGATTTCAGTGCATCAACATTACTTTAATATCGGGAAAGGGAAGGTAATTATGATTGAGTGTCGTGTGTGGCGGAGGAATTGAAAGAATCAGAATGTTTCACATGATAACAATAGTGGAATGTTTTTTTACAACTTATTGAATTTTCGGTTATCATTACTCATCATAAGAATAAAAAAAAGTAGTATCAAGAAATATTCATTATTTTTAAAAAATGTGTAAGGAATAGCAGACAGCCACGAAGTTATGATTATATAAAAAATGCATTGAAAGACAAATGGGCCAGTGGATAGTTCTAGTAAAGGTGAATTGAGTGTATTGAAGAGTTTAGAGAGAGTAATTTCTTTTATGATGCTATCTATCTTCAGTTTCAGTTCCCTTCGTCGCCTCTTTCGGCACCCAAGGAATAATATGGAATACGCCGGATACTTCGCTATTTTACAACAATTGCCCTAAATCTAATACCCTGTATTTTATAGACATTACAGTCGGTAAAATTTATAAGAATCCCCATTGTACTTAAAACTGAATTAAGCGTGTATAGAGATTATCTAATTTAAAACTGCAGGCCTCTCTGATAATACTGTTAGGTTTTATAACTTTTATTACGTAAAATTAAAAAAAAAAGAAAAGGCATAGATTTAGACTTTATAATACTTAATACGATAAATACCATAAAATCTACCAAAATACAAAGGAGCCGTGAACAGTTTTAAATTAGACGATCTCTAGCATAATGGTGGAATTTTTTTTAAACATAACTCTTAGCAATGTCTTAAAATTTCCGCAATTGCCATTAACTGTTGGAATTCAATATTTACGAACGAATTTATATAACGAATTTAACAGTTTTAGGAAGATAATTTTATTATTAATTGCAGTTGATATTTCGGAATTGTTCCGCAAAATTCCAGACTATTAAGCACCTAATTTGATAATGCGTTTATAGAGATGTGTAATAAAATAAATTTACAAATATTTATGAATAATAAGTCCTTAATTATTCAATTAATGTCATTATATTGTTAATAAATTCCACAATTACCGAACAGACGTGATGAAAGTTTAGAGTATTTGCGCTCTAATTAGCTTAATTGAACTTACACAAGTCAATGAACCCAAACAAGGAGTCCTTGTTTTCTCTCGTCTCAACCACATGTGGAAACCGTATGTTCTTTGTAAAAAAATATTCGGACATCTAAAGACGTCATTAGTATTAATTATCCAAGTTTCTTTTGAATTTACCACATGAATTATTAATGACTTGTCATAGAACATCATGATTATTATTTGCAATATTGTTGTGTTTGTATTGTGAAATGGTCATAGTACATGACTAAGTTAATAGTTGTGCAAGAATATAGTTGTTTTACGATTGGAGGTGTAAGAAGTATTTGTTCCGTAAAAGTCTAAATAAATATGGTCTGCAAGGAATACAGTTTGATGTGAAGTTCGAAAACACGCATTGAAGCTGTGCAGCGGCGGACATTTGCTCTAAAACCCTCTAAGAAATAAGAGGGGACTTATGACAAGTCGTGGGAAATAAACGCTATCAGGTAGGTACAGGTCTACGTTCCTGAACACTCAGCATACAAAACACAGCAGCATTAAGCTGCTTTTCACGCTGGTATTCTGTGAGCGTGGTCCTTACCCGGCCGAGCGGACAACCATACTATAGAGTAGCTGCAATAGGACTCTACCTTGTACAAGGCTACTAGGTTGCTAGTGTACTATAAAATTTAAAGTTTGTAATATAATATTTATATATTTACAATTACACATATAATATATATCTATGTGTAATTTTACTACAATTCTTCATCTAACTATGCAAAGTTATTTGAAATACTCCATTCGATTATATGAATATTATTTGAATTAACTTCTGCGATTTCTGCCTCCCACTGGCACATATAGTGGGACCCAAGTTCCGTTACAAAATATAATAAAAATAATTCATAACGTCCTCGTAACTATACAGGGACGTGGGAATGACTTGCGTTGGCCGAAAGCTATTTTACAACGTTTTGTTTAAGTTGATGTTTTTCTGTATGACGTATTATGAGCAGCTGACGTTAATTATTTGATCGTAGTGGACATACACACAAGTTGTTATGATTTTAAAAGCTTTTATTTAACTTGCAATGAATAAATGTATGTTTGTTAGCGTCAAATCTTGCAATTGAATTTAACCTAATTTAAACTACTAAAAAATGACTTTCAATAAGAATTACACATGTAATGTATATTGAATAAAAATATTCTATTCTATTCTATAACCTTCAACTGATGGACCTGAAATTTTACGTTTAGTTTGGATGACAATGCAAGGTTCTCAAAATATCAAATCTCGCGACAAGCTTTAATCAAATATATATATATATCTAATATATCTAATCTAGTCTAATATTATATGTATAAAAATATGTTTGTTTGTTCGTATTTTATGTTCATCACATTGCGGTAAAACTTTGTCAACTTTTTGCTTGCACTTCCGCGAAGGTTATAGTCATATTACAATTAACTCACAGTAGGTGGCATGCGTATCATACTGACAAATATATTTGAAAGTAGATAATATATCACTCAACTTCAATAAATGTATTATCATTGCTAATAAAACAATATAAGTCTTCCAAATTTAAAACAGTATATCCATAATTTTTTTTTGCGGCAGCAGCGCGCCGGGTATCAGATAGTTTAATATATAAAAATAATTTTTGTTTGTTTGTATTTTATGCGCTGCCATACTGTTCATCAGATTGTGGTAAAACTTTGTCAACACTTTGCTTGCACTTCCGCAAAGGTATAAAGGCATAGTTGGACCCGGTGGGTGGCGCTGTAGTACAATCCAGATATCACAGGGGCAGATCGTATGTTATGTAATAAATTAATGCATTAATTTTCATTTAATTTAAAGTTTATTTCCTCTTTTTAGGCCATTTAAATAAAAGCTTCATTTTAAAAAAGTAATTTTTTACTATTAAATTATTTCAAATAAAATCGTATCAAAATCTCGTATAAAAATATCATAGCCCGGTTTTTCATATAAGGACGGGTGACAAACAATTACAGTCCACCTGATTTTAAGTGTATGCTGTGCTCTATTGATACCGTCATTTATCTTGCATTTAGGTTCAAAATGCAAATGAGTTGTCTCCCATAAGGACTAAGATGGAATGTTTAATTACCAATAAAATTGGTCAGATATAAGAGCGAGTGATAAAATTTTGCCACCTCTATATCACTCTGAGAATTGGAGGAGGACTGCACACTTGGCTTTACTGGATTATTACTTTTCTAATTTTTAAACCAAGTTAACACACTGTCCGGTTTTCAGGCACAATAGTAAGACAGTAGCAATGACCTATATGTAGAATTGTCAATCAAGAATTTCATAAGACTTGACTCCAATCCAATAAGTTATATTTTCACGAACTTGGGACACTTTCAGGCAGACATTTATTGTGATGAGATTACTGTTTAAGGTTATAGAATGATCATTCAAGAATAACGCGAACCTTCATTTCAAACCAATCAGTTGTAATTTTTTTAAAACAATAACCGCATACCTACCTCTCGACAATGTCTAGCAGCAGAATGAAATTAAATTAAGTATCATACTCTAATACTAGAATTCCTAGTCGAAGCGTCAACAATCCCTACAATAGAATAGAATAAAAACTATTCCATTCTATACTACTTTAAATTATCCACAGACATTACTAAATATTGACAGTGTGGAATCACAAAGTATAGGATCAGTAATAGCAACAGTTGGTAAAATATATATTGAGAAAGAATACCACGCATGATACTTAGCTAGCTCACAAAGGTAAGCTATCTTGATGTATAGAATATGATCTCTTCTGCATTTGTCCTGCATGACGTGACTATTATTAGTAATGACTATCATTAGTAAAAATAACTTACTACATAGCGGCTGCTTTCATCAACATCGTGCACGAGATCAGCGAGCAAGCAAAATATCCTGAAGAGTTTGAACACTGAGTCGTCGCCGAAGACTGGCTTGTCGCGGTTCAGGAGGCTTTTCCGACACACGAACCAGCAAACCTGTGAAAAATTAGCTTAATGTTTACTATACTATATAATTCAGAATGAGTTTTGACCACTGTTTATTTAGGGTTTTTTTAAAAAAAAAAGTAACAAACATGTCTATGATTTATTACCATCAGGTGGACGGGTTATTACTTTTTTTTTATTCATACATAAAGGGCTTTGTCGCTGATGCAATTATGCCGCCCTGGTAGTTACAAAAAATCTTAAATATAATAATTACTTACAATTAAACTTATTATACTTACTAGTTACTTAATCTCTTATTAACTAACAAATACAGTTTTCTGGCATCATCTGATAACGGGTCCGATAAAATACTATTACTACTACCAATTAAGGACAAATGTAAATTAAATTTGCTTTTTCTCTTGAGTTCTGGATACATTCTATCAAAATGTGATAAACATCATCAATAATAGGGGTTATTACCTTCTAAAGAGGTTCCTTGAGATAAAAAAGTCCAACTACTTCGGGCTAGTTTGTGCATATTCATTACATATTTCACACGGTTGTGTACTATCAACTCATGTGCAAGCATGTTGTAGTCAGCGCTTATACAGGGTTATTTTTTAAAGAGTAGCCAAATTTTAAAAGTCCAAAAATATATAATGATATATCGTCATTGCAGTTTTTGAAAATACGAGTAAAAAAGGTTTCCACTTTTATGTGAAATATCCCAAATTGAATGTGATTTATGGGCAACAATGTTTTTGCCTGCTGATCCATCCTTACGAATGTGTGCCTGCGCAGTAAAATCTGTTATAATAATGCATTACCACGCATTTTGGACTTAAAAAGGTTAAAAGGACAGAATGTTTGAGATTTTTTAAAATTAATCTGTCTTCAGCATTTACCTATATTACTTATTCTGAACCTTCTCTACAAATTTGGCCAGTTATTGTAAAATAACCCTGTATAAACTGTTCTGTTTGCTGTATAGTAGCTGCCACCCCGGTCTCGCTGACCCCTTCGTGCTACAACCATAACATAGCTGTAACTTAGCTCTACTACGTAAAAATATAACAGCTATCATCTCAAAAAACATTGCAGCTGGTGTGTACGCTCCCATTTAATTCGACTATAGTCTTAATTTTGAGTAATTACGCCGATTAAGCACCAAGCGTCATTCATCCTTTAACATAAGTGGGCCATGAATACAACGCGGCCAAACATTGCGTGATGACGCAGAATGCTGTAAGCATCGATTGTCTTTCACCCGATACGTTTGTGTGATACGAAACAAGAAGGGTATTGTTCTCGTGCAATATGAAATATAAAACCAATGCAATACGAGGCGGCTTGTTATCGCAGTTACTAAGTGTATGGCTACGGGCTGCGGTTCGCAAGTTCGATTCTTGCATACGAGTAGAGCAAGTATTTGTATACCTTGTTTCTTGTTTGGATGTTAGTCCATATGCAATTTATGTACGTAAACGCCTCCACGATACTCCATGATGAATAGTTTAAAAAAAACTGAGCTACACAAAAAACCTTTTTACAAATCAGAATAACAAAGGGTAGTCTGGCGCCATTTTTGACGTCATAGGTGCTGGCAACGATTACTATGATCGCTTAGAGTAATAATAACATAGATTTATTATGTATGCAACTTACTCTGAGTATAATCACAAAATAGATAACAGTACAAGTAACATAATTCAAGATGGTGGGCCAAAGATTAATTTAACCTACATATTATTGAAGGGCACGGAGTAAATATTTGCAGCATTTTTATTATGTAAAAGAAAAAGAATGATATATGAATCATTTGTATAGAATATAGTGTTTCTTTCAAAGCATCATATAGTTAGTTAAATAATAATAATTTAATAATAAATAAAAAAGTTTGAACTTATAAATGACTACTGCTGTGTACTGAAATATCATTTCTGAGACAGTTTTGGAGTAGAAAAGAATCTGCTGAGATTCTCCATTGCGTATTTGCGAACTTTACAAGCCCTCGAAATATTTATATTATCCAAATATTGACAATTAACAATTTCATTGATGCCGGTCGGGTTCGTATTTGGGTTCCACGCGGATCAAAAATAAAAAGTGAATCTTTATACCCCGAGCTACTTATGTACGATCAGTTGAAAAAGAAAAATTCTTGTTTATCAGTTAGTACAAGTACATAATTTTACTAAGCTTTTACACGAGACTTATGCCTCTCCTGTTGTAGAGGATTTCTCCTAATCGTCACTCTTGGCAATCGCAGTAAGTAACACACGTTTTACACCTTTGATGCCGCCTTTCGCCCCTTTTTCATAATTTTACGCTTGGCGTAAGCGAGATGCTTAAACCGCCATCTATCGGAAGCCATAAGAACTTTTTGGCATTACGAATAGTCGTCTTGAAGACAACATGAAATGTGATGATAGATTTTCTTAAGCCACGACCACACGGCAACGACAATAAAGAATATTAAAAAATATTTTCATACCTCGCTGATCTTCTTCTCGTACTCCCTCACTACAGGTAGGGTTACTGTTTTTGGCAGTGAGCTGAATACTTCATGTTGAAGGTAGTGGCGGAACTCGTCGAAGGTCAATTCCTGGGAGGATCTGAAGTGGTCCAAACCTTTCTCCACGCCGTATAGATCTAATAAGGTGCCGATGTTTGCGGTCAAGACCTGTAAAGCAAAAGTAAATAAATAATATTAGGAGGTTTGTGGTACTATGTTCACTGTTTCTACGTTCTCAATTATTCATGAATGTTGGTACTGTAGAAAAAGCATTAACTAAAATATGTACGCACAAAGAGCACAGAAACGAATATGAAAGAGCTTCACCATATATTTGAAGTTGACACGTATGGTGCAATATTCCCCCGAAGAAGTAATACATATTTGAGACTTCTATGATCGTGGTGGATCCTCACCTCGCGGAGCTGACGTAGGGGATAGTTTACAAATTAAACACAATGAATTTGCAGAGAAAATCATAAATTAATGTGTTATTATTCTTGGAATGAAGTTCCTTATCGCACAGTACCGACTTGGCGGATGGGGGCTAGACAAAAAAAATCGTCACGGCCCTTTCTATAGTGTAGACGGCCTTGGGGGCTATAAAGAAGCGAGATGGAATAATATCCATCTCCCTCGCACTTTTTCTTATCTTGCCATGAAAGAAATATTATTTTAAATGACGCTTCATTATAATAGACGCTAGTAATTCATTTATTTGTATTTGTTAATCAATAATATAATACGTTTATTAATAATAATGTACTACGAAAGGAACTTCGTTCCAACCGAGTGTTCCACGACATACACGCATGTTTTTTTATAAATATTTGTAGTGTTTGACATGCTGAGGTCATAAACTACATATTAAGAAACTTATTCCATGTAACATTTATCGGAAAAAATCTTGTGTGATGGAAAAAACCAGCATTATTGTTTTTATTTTTAATTTCAATAAAATACACTGAAAAACAACTTAAGTAAAAAGGAAAAACAATTGTTTTGTTTAAAAAACGTCTTCGAAATAAAATTATTTCTTATGTTCTAGTAAAAAAAAAAAATTAAACAGCATACGTCTTGTCAGAGTACATGATCATTTTATAATCTGTGGAGTGTTTTCCGCGAAGAGATCATCAAAAAGTCTATCAAAAGTGAACATAGGCCTCCGCAAAGATTAGCTGTCAGGGTTTATTTGCAAAAGTTGCCACTCTTGGCAGGCGGGTTGGCAAACGAAGTATATTACCCATTATTTAAGTTGTTATTAGGAAGATGTTGCATCCATCTCCTATTTCAGTTTCGTTTCTTACAACATTATCGGGGTGATATGGGGTGGTAGTTTCTCTTAAATCACTACTCGGCTTTCTATGTACATTTAAAATTGAAGTGTCTGTTTGTAATGTCAAAATAACAGCTTTTTACTAAATGCATATGAAAGTATATACTTATAACAAATACAATATTTAAAATTTTTGTCTGTCTGTCAGTTTGTTCCGGCCAAAGACTACTACTACTTAAATGTCTTTGGTTCCGGCTAATCTCCGAAACGGTTGGACCGATTTCGTCGGGACTTTCACTGGTGAATAGCTGATGTTATAAGGAGTAACTCAGGCTACTTATATTTTAGAAAAATAATGAGGGTTCCGCGCAACATAATTAAAACCCTAAATTACACGCGTGCGAAGTCGCGGGGAACAGCTAGTATTACATAAACGTCCCTGAACTGGTAACCATAAAGGCTTTAAGTAGGCAATGTCACTTACGTATTAGGTATAGTGTTATCGCAGCCTTATCATCAAAGTTAATGGGAAGGAAAGTACAGTGCTCTGTCACAGCTTCTTTTGTAAGCTAGGTACGTGACTTCAGCACTTGGAAATGCTGATAAGCGTTTTGAATAACTTTTGTTATTGTTTACGTTAAAGCATTCAGGTGTGCGATGGATTGCGTGAGAAAACTAAAAGCTATCTTTAGAGCCGAATAATAATTTATTGTTTGTTATTTAATATCGTAACTGCAAAAGTTCTAAAATTAAATAATAACTTCTTATATTTACGCGAATATGTTTTTTACGTGGTAGAGCCATGCTCAGTATAGTTGTAGCACGAATGGGTCGGCTCGACCGGGGAAGGACCACGCTCTCGCAGAATACCAGCGTAAAATAGCTGCTTAATGGTGCTGTGTTTCGTATAGTGAGTGCAGAGAACCGGAGACCCTTTTTACTGGAAAAGACGGCTCACGGCTGGTAACGCATCTGCATTTTAATTCGCAAACGAAGATAGATGTAGAGGTCTATGGGCCACAGCAACCACTTACCATCAAGTAGACCGTCTACTCGTTTGTCATTCTTATTCTATAAAAAAAAAACATAGAATGCCGCTGGTCCACCCGCCCCCGTGACCATGGGCGCTGGAAAGTGCCTGAAACGTCGGGAATTAAAAAAGTTAAAATTAAACGCGATAAAATCCGTAAAATTAGTTTTGTTCTATTTAAAATAAAATGTTTAATCTATTGGTCTTTAATTGACGCGTGAGCGAATGCCATTGTTTGTCTTATATAATTGCATCATTTTTCATAACATCAAGTCATAACATAAACAAAACATATATATATCTGCTATAGCTGGCAGATGTGTACGAAACTGAAATTTTTATTTTTTGAAGAATTTGGAAGAAGCCGCTGCTCATCTCCTGTCTCTTTTCCATTTATCGCTTCTTACGACACCCACGGTACAAGTAAGATAATATGGCGTAGCTAGGGCGTCCTTTGTCGACACAGCCGTGATAACTCAGGGGCTAAGCGTTCGCTGTAAATTTTACAGTACGCGAGCACCCCGGGTTCGAAGTTATCGGGGTCGAAATTAACAATTTCTTTGGTACCCCATCGGTACCAAAGAAATTGTTAATTGCAATTTTAAGTGCTGAAGAAAAGACGTGAAGTTCTCCAACATGCATTGGGGCAGCGCAGCGGACTTTTCCTCGCCCTAAAACTCTCTCAGAAATGAGAGGAGGCCTGTGCCCAGCAGTGGGACATATATAGACTGTAACTTTATTCTTACCTAAGCTTGGCATAAGGTAATTTTATGCATTTATAATACATTTTGCATTATTATAAGAGATTACTTACTTATAGTGGTAAATTGCATTGATATGACAATAAGTAAGCAATCAAATGACTGGTTCTACGTATAATTTACTACTCAATATGGCGCATTTGAAGGCGACGTAGTAGCGCCGTGCAGTGCAGCCAAATGAAAATGACTCACTGCTTTATTACAAGGCTTTTATTCCACAGGCTCCACTGCTATTGTGAGCTATAATTATTATAAAGCTGTGTATTTTACTGCATGTTTAGGTGTTACTGTTAGGCGTACTATTCTCGTACCAACTTGGTTTTTGATATTTTGTTATCGTAGCTGACGAAGTTAAGCACAGCCTATCAGGATTCTACTTCTTCTTCTTCATCAGTCCTTATAAGTTCACTGCTGGATATTGGCCTCTCCCTTTGTAGGGAGGATTTGTAGTAACTCTTGGCAAACGGATGGAGGATTGCAGTGTCAGACGCCTTGTACCATTGACGCTGCTATATGTCGTCGGTGTGGATATGTTGCGTGTGGCGTAAGTGTGGTGGAATACACCATATTTTTACGTGGCAGCTGCAGCTATATTATTGTAACACGAACGGTTCCTAGTTCGACCAGGGAAGGACCACGCTCTCACAGAATACGAGCGTAAAATAGCAGCTTAATGCTGCTATGTTTCGTATGGTGAGTGCAGAGAACCTTTTACAGGAAACAAGGAATTCCATCTTAGTTCTCAGCGATAAATGTAGAGGTCTATGGGCCACTGCATCCACTTACGCGCATCTACACTTATGGCAAGACGGATTGATTGGTTTTCGAATAGACTGTGTGCACGTTTGTCACCAATATTCTATAAAAAAAAAACCATGGGACGAAATAAGGTAATGTACATATTTACCGTACACCGCTACTATACGGCATATTATATCGGGCTTGGTGGCCACTTGAACAGTTTTAGTAGTGGCTGTAGTAGTTTAGTACTATTACTTTTAATGGCTATAAGGGGGCACCAAGATGAAATATCATTGTGCTAATAATTTGAACGTGTGATCAAAAATATATGTGTCTGTGGACCCATTCGTTACTGTTACCAGTAAAGCCTATCAAAATTCCGCTGCTGACCATAATCCTCCCCCATAGATTGCCACAAAGTGGGGTTTTCGCCATAGTTGCTTGGCAGGCGGGTTGGTAACCACAGATTTATATTTTTCTCGGTTGTACACTGCTATCTATTTCTGTTTTTAAGTTTTGCTCTGTCGCCTCTTAGAACATCCACTGGATGATATGGATTAGTTAAAGTGATCACTGAACGGCTAATATTAATGGTCTGTGTGGTAATTGGTATTGGTACCTACGTTATTTACATTAAATATCAGAATTTTTTTATTGATAATCGAAACTGCCACCAAAGAATTTGAACAAACTAGTATTTTTTTTAATTTTACTTTTATCCGACATTTGATTTTTTATTTATTTCAGTATTACGAATAATTATACAATAAAAAATAATGTGATCGGATTGTGTTTGCAATACTTCAATATAATAATAACTTATATATAAGACGTTAATGGGAAAGTATAGATAATATATTATAGCATCGCGATGGCAGTGTACGACTAGCTTAATTGTCATATACGCAGAGTACGAATCACATCGACCTCACACCCACGTTCGCCGTCTGGCGTCGGAGCTTCGTCATAGACGCAAACAACTTGTGAACTTGTGATGCATATCAACCTGCGAATGCACTAATAGCTGGCATGCGTGATTGAGTGCCCTTTTCGTAAGTTCACTGAATATGTTTTTTTAATTCCGATGCTAGTACGTGTGCCGGTTATTGCCTGTATTCAAAAAACGTTTCGTTCTACGTAACGATTTGTTTTGTTACATACATGTAAAAACAGTTTATATTTTAACAATTTAGGATGTCTTAAAATTAAAAAAGATCTTTAAGCGGTTCATAAATAGTTGAATTGGTATTTTTGTTTAAATAGAAGGGGTTTTCATGCACTTCTTTTTTTTATAGGTTAGGGTGACAAACGAGCACACAGTCCATCTGATGGTAAGTGGTTGCTGTGACCCATAGACATC